ACAGTTGGCACCACAGCTGTCCCAACTGCCACAGCCAGAGAGGGAACGACCATCATGGCTACCACCACAAGAACCTCTCCACCTGAGACAAAAGGCACAACCAACATCATCACAACAACAGCCGTGCCCACTCCAGCCACCAGCACCGCCAGCACCTCCAGGATCACCGAGGGAAGCACCACGACAGCCACCGCCACCTCTGCTCCAAGAGAAGCCTCCACTGCAGCAACCCAGGCTCCAACATCTGCCACGACAATTTCTGAAATTAAAATAGGAACCACTGCTGGAACAACAGCTGTCCCCACTACCACAGCCACGGCCAGAGAGGGAACAACCATCATYGCTACCACSACMAGSACMTCTCCWCCTSAGACMRAAGGYACAACCARCAYCATCCCAACAACAACTGTGCCCACCCCAGCCACCAGCACTGCCAGCACYTCCAGGATCACCGAGGCAAGAGCCACAACACCYWCAGCCACCTCTGCTCCAAGRGAAGCCTCCACTGCAGCCACCGAAGCCCCAACATCTRCAACAGTCTCTGAAAGTAAAATAAGAACCACCATTGGCACCACAGCTGTCCCCACTACCACAGCCACAGCCAGAGAGGGAACRACCRTCATCGCWACCACGACAAGGACCTCCCCACCTGAGACAAAAGGCACAACCARCAYCATCCCAACAACARCYRTRCCCACTCCAGCCACSAGCACTGCCAGCACCTCCAGGATCACTGAGGGAAGCACCACAAGAGCATCAGCTACCWCTGCTCCAAGAGAAACTTCCACTGCAGCAACCCGAGTTGCAACATCTGCCACAACAATTTCTGAAATTAAAATAGGAACCACTGCTGGAACRACAGCTGGCCCTACTACCACAGCCACAGCCAGAGAGGGAACAACCATCATYGMAACCACCACCAGCACCTCTCCCCCTCAGACAGAAGGAACAACCACCATCCGTGAACCAACAACAGCCGTGCCCACTCCAGCCACCAGCACTGCCAGCACCTCCAGGATCACCGAGGGAAGGACCACAACACCCTCAGCCACCTCTGCTCCAAGAGAAGCCTCCACTGCAGCGACTGAAGCTCCAACATCTGCCACAACAATCTCTGAAGGTAAAATAAAAACCACTGTTGGCTCTACAGCT